TCCAAGGTGTCCTGGTTTTCCCAAATGAAAATATGGTCACCCTTTTTTATCATGTTCTTTTTTTCGTCCAGGTGTTTGGGGTGATATCACATTGCAGCAGTCTCCCTATGAGGTAAAAAGACCAGGAGAAACTGTAAGGATTTCATGTGTCACATCAGGTTACGAGATGACTTCTTATCCCATAAACTGGATTAGACAGAAACGTGGGAAAAGTCTTGAGTGGATCGGGTGGATAAACACAGATACAGCTGTCCCAACTTATGCTGACTCCTTTAAAAGCCGTTTCAGCTTCACTCAAGATGTTTCCAGCAGCACTCAGTTCCTGCAGATTTCCAGTCTGTCTACAGAGGACTCTGCTGTTTACTTCTGTGCTAGAGAGACACAGTGACTGAAAGCAGTGGCGCAGCTGCACAAAAACTATTACAGATAAGAAACAATGTGATCACAAAGACTTCTGCTTTCTAAGAACCATCAAATGACTGCTGATATTATTCTTGTAAGAATCATTTTATGAATATTTACTTTTCATATTATGCTACTACTACTACTACTACTACTAATAATAATAATAATAATAGGAAATTATTTGATGAAATAAAATGTTTTCTCTGAATGTTTAAAGCCTCTTTAGGGTTTAATTATGAAATACTGTAGCTAGTAGGGCATGGTATTGGTGTCAAATTTCAGAATATTCTGCATTCAGCAGTGACTTCCTTGGCACAGGAGGCTGTATCCATTCTGATGCCACTGATAGGCTGGCTCCAGTAACTGGGCATCTGACACTGGCAAAGGAAAAGCTGGAGCTAGTGACTGAGATAGAGAGCACCCACCATCAATAATGAAATTGTTTTTCTTATTTATACCCTGTCATAAAAATTGTTGTTAATTTATTGATGCAAAAATTACATTTTTATTGCCCAAAAATAAATCCTCGAGATGAAAAGATCTATTTTTGTTTAATGTGAAGTAAACTACTGCATCCTCCATTTAATGTGAAAATATTAGGAAAACTGAGAGTTTCATGGTTTACATCATGTTAAAAGATGACAGACTAAAGTATGAACTGGATCAGACAGAAGGCTTAGAAAAGTCTTAACTGTATTGGATAAATAAAAACATATAAATGTTGTTACTCTTGTAAGCTCCTTTCAGAGCTTCTCTCAATATGTTTCCATCAAATCCTCAGTCTCATCACAAATTATAAAAACTTTAGTTAAAGTAATCCATAAAAGCACAGAACAGAACAACTTACGGTAATAAATGTGCTTTTCAAAGTGCAAAAATACATCAAAATTGTCTTATACAGTATATTTATTATAATTTAACTTGAAATACAATCAAAACTCATAAAATAAAAATACAATAATATTATAACAACATAAAAAATAAGGAAGGTTCTCCTTCCACAGTGAGGAGGTGTTCATGCAAACCCAGATGTCCTATACCTCTACTAATGACACACTTGATCCTGTCTGAACAGACATCAGCATGATGGGTTACAGCAGTGGTTCCCAAACTTTTTGTGCCCAAGGCACACCAAAGGACAAGTAAAAATCTCAAGGCACACTTATTGTGCTAAAGAGCATTTAAAACCTGTGTCATCCATCGTGTTTAGCAAAATATTTGTTATAATTATGTACTAATTCAAAATAAATTGTGACAACTATATTACCCATGAAATATTTATTAACAAAATATTCAAAAATTTAATTTGAAACTTCATCAAAATAGGCTTCAACAAAGCAGCCACATGCCTATTTAAATCATGGCTCACAAAATTAAAAACGAAGCAAAGAAAACTCAGCAGAAATTAAGCACAAAGAACTGTCAATGCAAGGAAGCTGCACTGTCCATTGTCCTGAACTACAAATAATAAATGTAAAAATTTTTTATCAGCATTGAAACATGTGCTGTTGTAAATATTTTGTCTGCTTACAAATTAGTGAGACACGTGTGCCTGTCGGTGCGCACAGATTTTTTTAATCCTTGGTGGCACTGAGGAGAGGGCCACACGCAAGTCCTGTTCAACAGAGAGCCGTGATCTCCTGTTGTTCTTCATGTAGACCAGAGTAGAGAATGCCAGCTCACACAGGTAAGTAGTGGGGAAAAGAAGAAGTTGCTCAATTGCGTGGCGTGAGATGTTTGGGTATTCTGATGCAGAAGCCAACCAAAACTGATCCAGTGGGAGCCCACTAAATTTGAGTTTTAATGTGCGGTCCGCATGGAGCTCCTCTCTTTCTTTCATTGTCAGTTTTTCTGTTGAAGATTCCTGGTTGAATGGGTCTCAGATCCAGTCGTAATCCTCAACGTCAGCATCATGTGGAAAGTAGCGCTCAAACCTCTCTTTTAAGCTCTGAAGGTGTTCAGCATATAATGCGCGCTCCTTTGCTGCCTGCGGCGCAGCTGATGCCAGCGGGAACATGTCCATCGTGCCCTGTTCCAAAGCCTTGCGCCACAGGATGAGTTTGCCCATAAACCCCCGAATCTTGTCTGTGGATGATAAGATGTTTTCGTCCCTGCGCTGCAGCTTGGTGGTTCATTCGTTGAGATGCCCAAATATGTCTGCGAGGTAAGCCAGCCTGGCGCACCACCTCTCATCTGCAAGCTTGTCCTTGTGTGGAACCACGTGTTCACGTGAAAACTCCAAAAGCTCTTCCCGAAGCTCATAAAGACGGGATAGGACCTTCCCCCGTGATAACCAGCGTACCTCTGTGTGGAGAATGAGGCTTTTGTGGTCGGCTCCCATCTCGGTGCACAATTGGGAGAAGAGGCGAGATTTCAGGGGCCTTGTTTTGATGTAATTCACCATCTGCACAGCCTGATCCAGCACCTCAGTCAACTCTGGAGGCATGGTTTTGGCAACTAATGCCTCTCGATGCAAAATGCAGTGGTTTGTCACAATGTTCAGGTTTTGCGCTTTCACCTTTGCAATAAATCCTTTCACTCTCCCTATCATGCATGCTGCACCATCTGTGCAAAGGCTGACGCACATATTCCAGGTTAACTTGTTCTGTTTTAAATAGTCATTAGTTACCCTGAATATTTCTTCTCCCGTTGTATGATTTTCCATTTCTTTGCAAAAAAAAAAAAGTCTCTTTGATAGAGTCCCCATCAACATATCTGATGTTAGCCAGGAGTTGGGCAGCCCCACTAATGTCAGTAGACTCGTCTATTTGTAGGGAAAATCTGCTACTTGCCTGCAGTTTCTCCATCAAATGTTGCTCAATGTCTTCTGACATGTCGTCCATTCTTCTTTTGATTGTGTTATCAGACGACGGTACTTTGGATAGCTCATTTGCGGCATCTGGACCCAGCATGACACCTGCGATTTTTTTGCAAGCAGGGAGGATGAGTGTCTCTGCTATTGTGTGAGGTTTCTTTTGCTTTGCAATAAGCTCTGCTAGCATGTAACTAGCCTCCATCGCCTTTTCAGACGTTTTCACACAACCCAACAGACGGTCTTGTTGCCTTAGGTTTAGATCCTGTGCTCTTTTGAAATAGGCCAGGTTTCTATCAACGTAGGAGGGATGCTTGGTTACCAGGTGCCTTTTAAGCTTGCTGGGAAC